TTCATGAGGTAATGAAGAAAAATGGCGTGTAACTCCTGCATAATAGGGTGAAAACATTCATCTTCTGGAATCTCACTTACTGTGAATTAGCAATTGTACTTCATGCAATATTTGTTTAGTGAACTAACAGCAAAAGATAATTAGACTGCATTAACTACATTGAAATTTTCTATAACTTTATTTTATTTGAAGTTCAGGCAACAAACTTGAGGTCTTGCACAGGTAGGAACTTCACCTCTGAGATACTCCCAAAGTCTGCTTTGTCAGTTTCACACAGATTGTTACATAACACCTTATATTATACACTCATTCAATAATTTTAAAGATTCCTATGTAATTGTAACCCCTCTGTACAGTATTTTCACAAGAAAAATAAATAAAATATAAAAAATAAGATAAAAATTATTCCAAGCTCTGGTGGCTCATGCCTGGAATCCCAGCTACTCGGGAGGCTGAGATATGAAGATTTCAATTCAAAGCTAGCCTGGCAAGAAAGTCCATGACACTCCTCTCTCCAATAAACTACTCAGAAAAGATCTGAAGTGGCGCTGTGGGCCAAAATGGTAGAGTGCTAGCCTTGAGCAAAAGAGCTCTGGGAAAGTGTCCAGGCCCAGAGTTCAAGACCCACAACTAATAATAATAATAATATTACTCAAAGATTGATCCCATGTGTATGCAGTGGCTCACACATGCAAGGTTGAATCATGAGGATTCAGATCCAAAGCCAGCCCAGGAAAACAGTTCAAAAGATTCCCCCTCCAATACTAGCTGGGTATGGTGGTGTACATCAGACATACCAGCCAAGTCTGAGGCTGAGATTGGGATGGTTGTAGTAATAGGTCAGCCTGGGCAAAAACAACTCCTAAGACTCTATCTAAACAATAAGATCTCAGCATCTACATTCATATCTGTCATCCCAGGTACTTAAGGAAACACCCAATAGGAATATAAGGGTGCAGGCTGACCTGGGTATAAAGCAAGAGTATAGCTCAAAAATAACCAAAGTGGGGCTGGGAAGGTGGCTCAGTGGTAGAGCACTTGCCTTGCATACATGAGGCCCTGAGTTCGATTCCTCAGCACCACATAAACGGGGGGGGGGGGGAAAGCCAGAAGTGGCAATGTGGCTCACAATTGGTAGAGCGCTAGCCTTGAGCTGAAGAGCTGAGGGACAGCGCCCAGACCAGAATTCGGGCCCCACGACCAGACCCGGAAAAAAAAATAATAACCAAAGTGAAAAAGGACTAGAGCAGGTCTCTAGTAGTACAGCCCCTGCCCTAGCAGTGCAGAGCATAGTGTGTAAATGCCACTGCTGCAAAAACAAAACTATGAACCAACTGTAAAATAGAATGTTTAAGCAAATCATGAAAATCTTTTATTCAGTGCAGGAACGAAACACCTGCGTGATACAAGTGTCACTGCTGATGAGCACAAAGGGGTTCAAGACTGAGAAACACACACCCAGGAACACAGACATGTCCTCCAGCCACAGGTCTAGTTTCGTATTTAGATCAACACAAAGAGTGAAAATGGCAGATAAGCAGTAGAAGAAGACAAACATGCTCACCAGGGTCAGGATGTTGTGCGTGGCCCAGGCCTAGTGGTCAGTTCTTTGGGAGGGAATGTGGCTGTGAATGTGCTGGACCCTCTGCTGTGTCTGTGCAGGACAAGCACCACGGAGCCACTGGTCCACATCATGAAAACCAAGTACATAACATCAATGGAAGAGAATAAGACCATCTGTGATAAATATACAAATGGTTTTGGTGGGGCTGCTCCTAGGGAGCAGTAACTATAATGCATGTGTAGAGTGACATTTTGTTTGTGTCTTGGGCCAATCACTCTCAGAGACACAAACATTTACCAGGAGCTGCAGGATCCAGAAAAGGGAACCACAGCATCCAAAGCAGTTGGAGAATCTAGTAGTGATCTTCCAGCAAGCATTTCTAGTGCAAAGCTTTGAGACCTGGAAGCCACTCAGAAGGCAGGTGGCATTAAGAGAAACCCCTCTGGCTACTCTATGGAAATACAAAACAACTTTATATCCTGCATCATCCAGGAAATACTTCCATCCAAATCCTACCATTGTCTGAGGGATTCCCCTGGATAAAACAACCAAGTTGTTGGCAAAGACCAGATGGCAGAGGATGGAGTCTGTGGGCCTCACCTTCTGTCCAGTGAGGAGGGTGTAGCTGTAAAATCAAAGGAAATATGAGTTCCCCAGTACCCCAGCTGCAGTCTGAATGAGGAAGGCAACTCCCATTTCAGTGTCGGCTTCGGTCATCTCTTTCATATCTAGGAAATAATGGATTTTATTGTGACACAAAAAATGGCATGAAAATTAAACAAGTATGAACATGTTAGCCAAGCTAGATGCATGAGGATCGCAGTTTGAAGCCAGTCCAGGCAGAAATGGCCCCATCAGACACTGTGGCTCAGGCCTACACCCTGATATCTAGGCCTAGGCCAGGATAACTGACAGGAAAAAAGAAAAGAATTCCATGAAACATTATTTTAATTAATAGCATGATTAGTGATACATACAAACATTTGACAGAATGATGAGACATAACCAATATTTTGTTTATAAGGAACATCATTTCTTTTCTTTCTCTATTTTTGCCAGTAGGGCGGCCTCAGTTTTGTTCCTGAGCTCCTTTTGCTCAAGGCTAGTACTCTTCCATGTTGAGTCACAGCTCCACTTCTGGCTTTCTGTGATTAATTGGCAATAAGAGCCTCATGGACTTTTCAGCTAGGCTAGCTTTGAACCTGGATCCTTAGAATTCATCCTCCTGAATAGCTGGGTTTACATTCCTGAGCCCGACAAGCAACATTATTTCTTATAATAAAGGAGATTATCTTAGACAAAAACAGTTAAAATTTTGTAAAAAAATAAAAATAAAACTTGATTTTGAAAAGCACTATGACTTATTACATTCACACCAGAATTAAATAGCGGCAGAGACATATGGTAGACTGAGAAGAAAACACAAGTAGTGCACAAACTTCAGTTTATAAAAGAAACATCTTACTGGTGTATCAGCAAACAAGTATAATCTGAATTTACTCTAGCAATTTCAAATAATTAAGAAATCCAAAGAAGCCAGTTGTTGGTGACAGATGCCTGTAATCCTTATCATTTGGAGGATGGGAGCAGAGAATCTCATTTAGAAGCCAGCCTGGCCAGAAAATGTCCCTGAGACACCTATCTCCAATACACTACTGAGAAAGGGCCAGAAGCGGCACTGTGGTTCAAGTGGTGGAGCACAACCTTGCTCAAAAGAGAAGCTCAGGAATAGTGCTTAGGCCCTGAGTTCAAGCTCCAGGACTGGCAAAAATAAAATATATATATGGAGGTGTATTAGATCATTTCAGCAGAGAATCCTGTACCCCTGAGTGCACTAAGCTATGTGGTCTCCAGAATACGAAGGGATGTGGAGCTGCACCAAGACTGCTAACCAAGGCAGGAGAAAGGCTTGTGACTCTCACCAAATATTTTTCCTGAAATACAAGATGTGTGCCTCATTCTAACCCCACACAGCACACACATTTTACAGGGAAGTTACTTCTGCATTTTCTTGATGAGTTACATTTACTACTGTCACTTGCCTGAGAAGAATAGCTGCTTACCCTGTAGGAATTGGCTGCCAGGACAGAGGGGCAGAAGCAGTGCTCACAGCATGTGTGTTCAGCCTTGGAGCCCGATGATAAAGGCTCAGGACTGAGTGATCTCATCTTCTTGTGGGCATGCTCATTATGTCACCTGGAAGTGTGGTGAACTGTGTGCATGGGGAACAGAGCTTTTCTATGATAAACACTGGAGAATTGTGGATACTGATGAACACCACTGAACTTCTATGACCATTTCCAACAGATGTGACCCCATGGTAAGCGAAGTCCAGAGAATATGGGGAAACTATTGAAGATGATCTCATCAGAAATGAGTAGAGGAAAAGGAAATCTATTGTTTTAGAAGAGCATGGAACTAAGCAAATGGCTTTGGTGAATTTTTAGGGTTTTTCTTCTTTTGTTTCCACGATGCACTATGTTAAAACACGTTTGTGTGCTTAAGATACATGTACACACACACGCACATACACACACACACACACACACACACACACAAGGTGCCTGTGGCTCACACCTGTAATCCTAGCTACTCAGGAGTCTGACATCTGCGGATTGCAGTTTTTAGCCAGACTGCCCAGAAAAGTCTGTGAGACTCTTTTTGTTTGTTGTGAAGCCTGAAATTAGGGCCTGGGCGCTGTCCCTCAGCTCTTCAGCTCAAATCGAGGGCTCTACCACTTGACCCACAGTGCCACTTCCGGCTTCTGTGAGACTCTTATCTCCAAAAACTACTCAGAACAAGTTGGAAGTGGAAGAGTGCTGGTTTGAGCACAGAGAGGCTCAGGGACAGTGTGCAGGTCCCATGATCTCCCAAGTAGAAGCGGGGAGGAGGAAGGGAAGGGGTGGGGCTGGTTGCTCACGCCTATGATCCTAGCTAGGAGATCTGAGGATACAGGCTCAAGGCCATCTGGGGCAGGAAAAGTCCACCAAAAACTGAACGTGGAGCTGTGGTTCAAGTGGCAGAGGACCAGAGGAAAAACCTCAGGAACATTGCCCAGGCCCTGAGGTTAAGGCCCAGGTCTAGCGCACACAGAGAAACACACACACACACACACACACACACACACACACACACACACACACACACACACACGGATATACACTCACACCCAAAGCCTTCCCTACTGGGCGCCTTTGTGCCAGGTACCGGGTGGAGTCGCGTAAGAACTACAATATCCAGAATGCATTGCGCCAAAAGTCAAATACGTTGAACCAATGAATGGTCAGCGTCCTGCGTTTCTGCTCTTGTTAGGAAGGGACTTCCGGCGCCTTGGGGGAACGTCATTTCGGGGGCCCGGTGCCTTTTTCCAGTCCCTCGGAACCTGAGGCTCCGCCTCCGCTCCGGGCTTCGTCTCCGCTGCCCGTCGGCCGGTGCCCGCGCCCCCCTGCGCGGCGACTGTGATGGTGGCGGACTCGCCGGAGGACCGACTCAGGTGAGTGCGGGGAGGTTGACGGCTTTTCCTGCGGAGGCCCCAGCGGGCGGGGCGGGGAGGCCGGCAGCCCTGACCCCGGGTTCCGGCGGAGCGCTGCGGGGAGGCCTGCCGCCCACGCCCGTGGCTGCGGCCTGGAAGGGACCATTGAGGCCCGTGGCCCTCGAGTCCCCACCTAACGATCACCGTCCCTCAGCCCTTTCCCCCTCCCCCACAGGTTTCCAGGACCGCCGAATGGACGCCGATGGACTCCCGCAGGTGAGCTGCGCGTGCTCCAGGGCCGACCCCGCATCTCGTCTCTGGCTTAGGAGGTTTACAGGATTTGTCTCCAGACCTAGAGTCGTGAGATCAAACGCAGGCGGTCACACCTCCGGCCGCATGGACGGGCTCCGGTTTTTGGAAAGCAGTGCGATCAGATGTGGAAGGTGGTCCGGGCTTAGATACCTGACAGGCATTAGCTTGAAGGTGAGGATGAGCCGGTCTCCTGGAAGCAGAAAAGAGGAGTGTGGGAGTCGGACCAGTGAGGACGCACTTTGAGCCAGGGGCCTCCCCTGGGGGAGGAGAAAGAAGGGATGAGACCCCGTCTAGAGCTCTGGCAACAGCATGCAGAACAGACTGAGAGAAAGGGGTAGATAAAGAGCCATGGAGTTGTTGGGAGGCCGTCTTTACAGTCGTTGAGGATGAAAGATAAAAAAAATTAGGAGATAAGGTTCATGGGAGCGAAAGTGTTTGGGTTTGGTGGGCAAAGTTTGGTAGGTAAAGTGCGGAAGGTCTACTGACCAAGAAAAGATGATAGTACAATCACTTGTCAGGAAAAAGTGAAAAGAGGGGGAGGAAAGGGGATGACTTGGGGATCTGCATGGGATGTCAGGAGAGCAGCTGATCACAGAGAGATCTGTCCCCATCGTGGCAGGACTGTGTGACTTTCGAGGATGTGGCCATTTACTTCTCTGTGGAAGAGTGGGGGCTTCTTGATGAGGCTCAGAGGCTCCTGTACCTTGGTGTGATGCTAGAGACCTTTGCCCTCATCACCTCCCTGGGTAAGTCCTCTTACCCATCCCACTGTCTGGTTTGTCTCTGCGCACTTGCTTCTCTCCTAGAAGCCGCTCTGCTGTTTCATCAGACTTTGAACTCTGCTAACCTCTTCTTCACTCACTTTGCACATATGCAGGGTGAGCCATATGTATTTTCTTGGTGTCTACTGCTGGGGTCGGTGGATGTGGGGTGCCTTGTCAGCCTAAGGTGTCTGCCCAGAGCACTCTTTGGGGTGAGATCTACAGACTCTGGGTCAGGTTCTGCATCTCCTCCTAGGTGAAATTTCCTTGTGACTGCCGGGGTCAGGGATTATAGACAGCCACTGCCTGTCATTTACACAGGTCACAATCTGTGGCCAAAATCTCTTTCAAGGAGCTTTGTAGTACTGGTCTTCTTCCCTGTGGACTCCGTGTCTCAGGGTTATCCTGGGCCCATCCTGCAACACGCTTGTGTTGTCTGTCCCTTGGGGCTTCCTTCCTGCACATCTGTGCATGATGTAGGCTAATATAAAAACCAGAGAATTGACTTCCTTTTTGACCTGCTGGCAGGATTTAATTTTCTTTTTTTTTTTTTCTGCTTTACTAGGATTGAACTAAGGGTCTTAGTTAGGCAAGTGCTCTGCCATTTAAGCTTTATTCTCATGTTCTCAGACCTTCTTTGCTCTATTTTTCAGATAGGGTCTCACACTTTTTTCCTAGGGCCAGACTCATGCTTTGCTCCTCCTACCCTTTCATTCCCTAGAGCTGGGATTACAGGCATATACAACCACATTTGGCTTGTTTCTTTGAAGTGGAATTCTCACTAGCCAACTTTGCCTAGCTTCAAACCTTGACACTTCTGATTGCTGCCTCCCAAGTAGCTGAAATTATCTGGCTGTCCAGCAGGGTGTGTGTGTGTGTGTGTGTGTGTGTGTGTGTGTGTGTGTGTGTGTGTGTGTGTGTGTAGTTTTGTGTGTGTGTGTGTGATGAGATAGTTTTGTGTGTGTGTGTGTGTGATGAGATAGTTTTGTTGTTATCTGGCTGTCCAGCAGGGGTGTGTGTGTGTGTGTGTGTGTGTGTGTGTGATGAGATAGTTTTGTTGTTATCTGGCTGTCCAGCAGGGGTGGGTGGGTGTGTGTGTGGGTGTGTAATGAGATAGTTTTGTTGTTATCTGGCTGTCCAGCAGGTGTGTGTGTGTGTGTGTGTGTAATGAGATAGTTTTGTTGTTATCTGGCTGTCCAGCAGGGGTGGGTGGGTGTGTGTGTGTGTGTGGGTGTGTAATGAGATAGTTTTGTTGTTATCTGGCTGTCCAGCAGGTGTGGGTGTGTGTGTGGGTGTAATGAGATAGTTTTGTTATCTGGCTGTCCAGCAGGGGTGTGTGTGTGTGTGTGTGTGTGTGTGTGTGTGTGTGTGATGAGATAGTTTTGTTGTTATCTGGCTGTCCAGCAGGTGTTGGTGTGTGGGTGTGTGTAATGAGATAGTTTTGTTGTTATCTGGCTGTCCAGCAGGGGTGTGTGTGTGTGTGTGTGTGATGAGATAGTTTTGTTGTTATCTAGGCTGGTCCCGAGTTCCTAGGCTCAAGTAGTTCTCTTTCCTCAGTTTCCCAAATAGCTAGGAGTGCTGGTGCAAGCTATCATGACTAGCTCTCATCAAGTTTTTTGTTTGGGTTTTGGTTTTTTTTTGGGGGGGCGTGTTTTTTAGCTAATACTGGGACTTGAACTCAGGGCCTGCACACTGTCCCTGAGCTTCTTTTTGCTCAAGGCTAGCACTCTACTACTTGAGCTACATCTCCACTTCCAACTTATTCTGTTTCTGTGGTACTGAGGAATTGAACCCAAGGCTTCATGCACGCTAGACTAGCACTCTACCACTAAGCCACATTCTTGGTCCCTCTCATCAAGTTTTTAAGGTATCTAAAAATCAGTCTGGGATATATTGCAGTGGTAGAGTTCTTGCCCAGTATGTTTGAGGCCCTAGGTTTGATTCCAAGCACTGTGTAAAAATTGAATTGAGGAAAAAATACAAAATAAAATTTATAAATTATATTTACAGAAAATACTTTTAAAATACCATGGGGCTGGGAAGGTGGCTCAGTGGTAGAGTGCTTGCCTCCCATGCATGAGGCCCTGGGTTCGATTCCTCAGCACCACATAAGCAGAAAAAGCCTGAAGTGGTGCTGTGGCTCAAGTGGTAGATCACTACCTTGAACTGAAGAGCTGAAGGACAGCGCCAAGGTCCTGAGTTCAGGCCATACCATACCATAATCAATGTATGTATTTGATCAGAATTTCTCTGGTTTCAGTATGTTGGCACGGAGTAGAGAATGAAGACACACCTTCTGAGCAGGTTTCTGTAGGATTGTCACGAGTCAGGACTTCAAACACAGATCCATCTGGCCCAGAAGCTCATCCCTGTGGAACATGTAATCCAGTCCTGCGAGGCTGTTTGCACCTGGCTGATCAACCTGTGCAGAAGCCATTCTTGCTTGGGGCATGTGCAAAACTTCACCAGGACCAGAATCGTCTCAATTCAGAGAAAACTTGGCAAGAGGACATAGACAACACTTCATTCGTGAGGAGCTGCAGATTCCCCATGTCAGGAAAGGCTTCCGGGAGCCAGGAGGCTGGAAAGGACCTCCTGACCACATTAGACTTTATCCAACTCCAGGCCATTTCCCAAGGTGAGAAGCTGTTGACAGGTGCTGAGGGAAAGGCAGCTTTTCATACCCAAATAAGCCATTACAAGTGGGACCAGTGCGAAAGAGCATCCAGGCATGAGCATACTCATGTTTCCCACCCAAAAGTCTATGCTGGAAAAAGGCTTTATGAGTCTACCCAGTGGGAGGAAGGTTACCGTTGCAAGTTCTCACTCCAGAGAGGCCACAGTGGAGAAAGGCCTTACAAGTGCACTGAATGTGGGAAATCTTTTAGCCAAACCTCCCACTTGAATGACCACCTCCGGATCCACACTGGAGAAAGACCTTATGAGTGTGGCCAATGTAGGAAATCATTTAGCCAAAGAGCCACACTCATTAAACATTACAGAGTTCACACTGGAGAAAGGCCTTATGAATGTGGAGAGTGTGGGAAATCCTTTAGCCAGAGCTCCAACCTCATTGAACACTGCAGAATTCACACTGGGGAGAGACCCTATGAGTGTGGGGAGTGTGGAAAAGCTTTTGGGTCCAAATCTACCCTGGTCCGGCACCAGAGAACTCACACAGGAGAAAAACCGTATGAATGTGCTGAATGTGGGAAGTTTTTTACACAAAGTCATAGTCTCCTCGAGCACCAGATCATTCACACTGGAGCAAGGCCTTTTGAGTGTAGCCAGTGTGGAAAATCCTTCAGCCTAAAGTATGGCCTCATTCAACACCAGTTGATTCACAGTGGAGCAAGGCCTTTTGAGTGTGACCAGTGTGGAAAATCCTTTAGCCAAAGAACCACCCTCAACAAACACAACAAAGTTCACACCGCAGAAAGGGCTTACGAGTGTGGAGAGTGTGGAAAAGCTTTTATGTTCAAATCCAAACTTGTTCGACACCAGAGAACTCACACTGGAGAAAGGCCTTATGAATGCAGTGAATGTGGGAAGTTCTTCAGACAAAGCTACACCCTTGTGGAACACCAGAAAATTCACACTGGGTTAAGGCCTTATGAGTGTGGCCAATGTGGGAAATCCTTTATTCAAAAGTCAGGCCTCATTCAACACCAGGTAGTCCACACTGGAGAAAGGCCTTACGAGTGTGGCAAATGTGGGAAATCTTTCACTCAGCACTCTGGGCTCATTCTCCACCGGAAATCTCACACCAGGGAGAGGTCTCATAGAACCGGAAGTGTGGAGAAGCCTTCAAGGTCAAACATTTAGTTCCTACTTAAGAGCTTGGTCCTTCAGGGTATGTGCTGCTCCTTTTTTTCAGTGTTCGCCTTTATGGGGGAACCACCTACCTGAAGTTACACCTCCTACTTGTAAACACCCTGAGGTAGATGTTCCCCTAGGTCCAGCCCGAGTGAGGCCAGTGTCTGGTAGAAGCCATCTCCCACCCCACTCAGTGCTCAGTGTTCAGCCCAGTGTGCTAAGGAAAGGCAAGTGTCTGTATATTCCCTGGAGGAAGTCTTGAACAGACTTTAGGGGGAATGTGTTCCCTCTTCTGACTAAATCATACCTAGGCCCCAGGGTTTACTAGGAAGACCTGACCTGCAGTCTGATAGAGGCTTCTACCGTGGCTTACCTTCTTGTAAATGCTTGGTCCTGTGCCCTTGTGGCTGACTGAACCTTGCAGCCTTCAGTTTACCACCAGGAGCTTCCAGCTCATACTATTCTGCTTCACACATGAATAAATGCTGTTTTGTTGAATCTACTTGCAATTTTTGGGGTTCTGTTAATATCTTTGTTGTTGAGAGAGGACAAAGTTGGACCAATTAACAGTTCTTTGGGGGGTTCCCACTTTTCTTCAGAGGTACAGCATGGCAGAAGGTAGTTCTTGTCATGCTTCACCTGTGAACCTGCACGGCAAATCTACTGAGTCTTCTCTCTGCCACAGAAACATTATGTCCCAGGGCTGTGTCCTTGTTCTCCTTGTGGCCTAGACTCTGGGCTTAGTGCACCATGACAGCATCACATCCAGCAGCACAAGGCTGATGTCTTGCCTCTGACTAGCCAGATCTTGACACGCTTCAAGGACATGGCCATGACCTTTACCTGTATGATTTAGCACCTGACCCAAAAGATGGGTTAGCTGTGAGGGAGAGCTTGGGGCACCAGTATCACTGGATAAAGGTTAGCCTCCCTCACCCATAGGTGAGTCGTTTTCCTGTCTGGTTCCGTGCTCCTGTTCATCCCTGGCTAGTGAGGCACCAGCCTGTCCAGAGCCTGTCTTTCTCTGTCCCCTGGGCTGCCTCAATTCCAGGGACCCAGTGGGCTGCTGGGAGCATCCTGTCAGTACGACTGAGGGATTCCGGAAGGATTAGGAAACTTCTTCCTGGTGTCTGGCCAATGCACGGCCCGAACCCACGGGTGACAGTGCCGGTGCCCCAAACCCACAGGCCTGGCCTGTGTTTCCACCTAGTGCAGGCCAGTCTCGCCCATCCTGCTCCCTGGACCCAAGGGGGACTACATTTCCCAGAATACTCCTTCCTTAGCCGAAGGACTCTGGGCCTATCAGCGCAAGGACAGCGTCGTTTCCGTGTTTGGAGGCCGGACTTCTGGCCTCGCTCAGGTGGCGCTCATTTTAGCGGTCCTCGTGTCCATTCACGCCGCCGGGCCGTGCGGACCTCTTTGTCTAGCGGGAGGGATGCGGGGCGGGGGCCTCCCCCGGCGTCCCGGCCGGAGTCGAGAAGCCGATGGCGGCGGCCACGCTCCCGGAGCCGGCGCTGGTGAGTGCGAGGTCCTCGCTCGGCGGCCCCGCCTCTCGGTCGCGCGGGAAGGCCCCGGCGAGGTGGCCGGGGCCACGGTGCCCTGAAGCTCCGTGCCGCGCTGCGTCCCCCAGCGTCCCGGGCGGGTCCCTGTTTCCAAAGCCTTTATGACAAGGTGGGAGACGGTGCAGGAGCCCCGGTGCGTGGAGCCTTGAGGGGTGATGGAGCATATCTCATCTGAGCTGGTTATAATGATGTGAGGTTGGCCTTTGTCCTGTGACGCCGGAAGCCACCGGCGCACAGACTGTGAGGGAGGAAGACGTGGTAGATCCCCAGAGTGGTGTTTTAGGGCTGCCTGCATTTCCCAATTTTGATAAAGAGAGGGATAGACGGTAGTCCTAAGTTTTTGGCATTCACGGGTGGAAGGAAGGAAGCTCCGTCCACTGGAATGTGCACCTGGTAGCCAAGTCAGTTCTCATTGGCAGTATCAGAAGCTTTGCTTTGAGCTATGACCCTGCAGCTAGTCGAGGCCTTGAAGGCCTGAGGGGAACGGGCTCGTCATAGAGCCGCACACAGGACTTAAGGTGAACTCCGGTGGCTGTGTCTTGAGTGGGGGAGGGGGAGGAGGCCATCTGGGGGATTCCTGGGACTGGTCTCTCAAGAAGAGATACAAGTGAGGTTTAGCTGATGTCTTTGCCCATGTGCTATTGCTGTGGAGGGAGGACACGGACTGGGACTGCTGGAATGAGCACAGAACTGGCATCAGTGGCTTGGAACCCCGGTATTTCCCGAGGTCTCAGTGTGGGGAAGAGAAGGAGCAGGTGGATGATCTGGGGGCGGGGTGGGCAGGGACATGGTCGTGGGGTGACCTGTATCTGTCATGGCAGGGTTGTGTGACCTTTGAAGATGTGGCCATTTGCTTCTCCCAGGAAGAATGGAGACTTCTTGATGAGGCCCAAAGGTTCCTGCACCTCAATGTCACGCTGCAGAACTTGGCACTTATAAACTCGCTAGGTAAGGCTCTGCACCTTCCCCATGTCCCAGGTCTGTCCACCCTTAGTTCCCTCAGATACAGACTCACCTTTACTATTGAAAAAAGAGCCTGTCCTTTGTCTACCAGTGTTGGTGCACATACTACCAGCCAAACCTTATTTCCACCTTTTCTCCCCGTGTGTGATACTCTCCCGAATTCTCATGTCATCAATGACTGCCAACACCTGGTTCCCCGACCTCTGATCTCTGGGCATTACTGTTCCCTCTGCTGTATTTCTCAGCATTCATGAGTACTGTCCAGTTAAGTATACTTACACCATTATATAAACCTGAATACTTACCACAGGTTCTTCTGGGCTTGGATGTAACCGACCTTTGCACAGCATCAGACTACATCCTGGTGAAGGCTTTTGAGCCTAGTCAGGAATATCTGTAGGTTCACAATGTCACACATGACCACACAGTGACCACAACAGCTTAAGGCTGTTGACAGAGGAGCTAATTGGAGACTGTCTTCCTGTGGTCCATTGTATCCTGGGTCCTTCAGCTAGCGAAGTGCCTACCCCACCCATCCAATCTTGGGATCTTTACAAAGTACTGCAATGCAGACCTTTCTTGGGCCTGTTCCCAGCTTCCTTGTTCTCAGAAAAAACTTGTTGTTTTACAGAGTGTGTGAGATGAGGCTCCCTGCTGATGGCAGAGCCAGCCTGTATTTTACCAGCAATTCTCTGCTTCTAGGCTGTGGACATGAAATAGAAGGGGAAGCTGAGCCGAGGCTTCCTGGAGGAGCACCACAGGTCAAAACTTCTAAGACCAGTCAGTCCACACAGAAGACTGACCTCTGCGGGAGGTGTGTCCCGATTCTGCAAGACATTTTGCATGTGGCTGATCTACCTGGGCAGAAACATGGGGCTGGGGCACGTACAAACCTTCACCAGCACCACAGACGTCACAGTAAAAAGAAATCTTTTAAGAGGGACCTTGATAGGATCTCATATTTAAAACGGTGCCTGTTCCACCCATCAGTGAAGTCCTTCCCCGACTGGGAGATGGAGAGGGACCTCCCAGCCATACTGAGCCTTCTCAAATCCCTGGCCTTTCCCAACAGTAAGAAACAGAACCCAATTATTGAAGCTAGGGAAGACATCTGTAGTCACAAGAGCCGCAAGCCAGGAGAGTGTGAGACATCTGTGGACCACCCAAAAGTCTCCAGTGGGAAAAAGCTGCATGAGTGCGGTAAATGTGGGAAGACCTTCCGTGGCAAGTACTCGCTTGACCAGCACCAGAGAGTCCACACCGGGGAGAGGCCATGGGAGTGCCATGACTGCGGGAAATTCTTCAGCCAGACCTCCCACCTGAATGACCACCGGAGGATCCACACTGGAGAAAGGCCCTACGAGTGCAGCCAGTGTGGAAAGCTGTTCAGACAAAACTCTAGCCTTGTGGACCACCAGAAAATTCACACTGGAGCAAGGCCCTACGAGTGTAGCCAGTGTGGGAAATCTTTTAGTCAGAAAGCCACCCTTGTTAAGCACCAGAGGGTCCACACTGGGGAAAGGCCTTATAAGTGTGCCGAATGTGGGAATTCTTTCAGCCAAAGTGCCATTCTTAACCAGCACCGGAGGATTCACACTGGAGCAAAGCCCTACGAGTGTGAGCAGTGCAGAAAATCCTTTAGCCAGAAAGCTACCCTCATTAAACACCAGAGAGTTCACACCGGAGAGAGGCCTTATAAATGTGGCGACTGTGGGAAGTCCTTCAGCCAGAGCTCCATCCTAATTCAGCACCGGAGAATTCACACCGGAGCCAGGCCCTATGAGTGTGGCCAGTGTGGGAAGTCCTTCAGCCAGAAGTCTGGCCTCATTCAGCACCAGGTAGTTCACACTGGAGAAAGGCCCTACGAATGTGACATGTGTGGGAACTCCTTTAGCCAGTGCTCCAGCCTCATTCACCACCAAAAGTGTCACAGTATGTAGTGCCCCATAAAAACAAATGTGAAGGGCTAGGAGGGTGGCTCAGTGGTAGAGTGCTTGCCTCGCATGCATGAGGCCCTGGGTTCAATTCCTCAGCACCACATAAGCAGAAAAAGCTGGAAGTGGTGCTGTGGCTCAAGTGGTAGAG